TATCTTGAGCCCAACAGGATGAAATATGACAATTACCATTCCTCCTATGTAGCCAGGCAAGAATCACCAAAAGAAAAAAAAAAAGGAAAAAGAAGGAAAATGTGCAACTAATCAACATCACAAATATTGAAATTACTGTTATCAACTAAAAGGACTGTATATCAAATTAGAAAAAAAACTACAAATACCGAAATTAATGTTTTGAGCTAAAATGACTGTATATCAAATTAGAAAAAAAATCTCTAAATACATGCAGCCCTGCTATGCTTTAGGAGTTAATGCAAAGAAATATCATAAAATAAGCTATTATAATGACCATTCATCTACAAGTGCATGAAAAATTACACTTAAGGATAAATCAGATAAATAAGGAATCTAATTAAACTGGATATATAACCATACCGTAATACTGAATCATGATAGCAGCATTTTAATGACAAATATAAATTGAGAAACTTCTAAAAAAATTCTAAAAGCAATCTTATACACTAAACTACTCTTTCAATCACCAGATGACAATATTACGCCCAAAATATCTTCACTATGAATATTTCAACATCTAGCTAGAAACAGGGTTTACTGAATGGAGTTTTAAATGGAAATTATGCAAATCTGGAAGTCTACAATCCCAAAACATAACAAACATCCAGAATAGTACCTTTTGAATATTAATAACACATTCATACACCATACTCTTTCAATTTGCAAAATAATCATAGTCAAATCACTTCAATCAATGTAAAAAAATGTTGAATGTTATGAAGTTATCCACCAGTATTCCATGCATCTGTTGGTCAAATCTATATTGCAAACCATTTGAAAGACAATACTGATATTTATAATACCAACTCATGAAAAATCATTTAAGAACTTATTAGGCATTACCTAAATGTTCTTTCTGTGCTCATAGTTTTTCAAAATTGGCAATTAATTCTATTCTAGTAAATTAGAGAAACAATCATTCCAACTGAATTTAAAGACTGACAATGATATTGACTAGAAAAGAGGTAGAACTGGACAAACAAATTCTTTAAAACTTACTGATTCTAATCACTAAAAATATCTGAAAATAATGAGTATATCTGAATGGTAAATCTGATAAGCAGTAAATGAAATTTCAAAGTAAACATGTTATGCATTACTTTAGATATGACAACAATCAGACTTTTAAGAATACATATTTATACAAATACAAAAAAGTAACTTTAAACTGAATGTTCAATTTATCCAATATACTGCATAACTAAAGATGACAGTTAGTCTTTGGAATAACAGCTAGTTAACTTTTTGATAGTAACTATTAGCAGTTAACTGGTCCAATTTTATCTATATGAATAAAATCAAATAAAACTTCTCAAATCATAGAGACGAAATATTCACATATAAAAAACAAAATCATTATAACATTATATGCCACTAAAATCTAGAAATATGGACATATAAAAAAGCATAATCATCATAATAATATATGCTACTAAAATCTATAATAGGACCAAGTGAAAATCTTACATTGAGGAAATAACACTGAAATTTACCTATATTCAAAAGAATTTCTATTAAATTATTTGACAATAAAAAACAAGTTCCAGTTTGTTTTCAGCATCTACAGCTTTTCCTCCTACTTCTATTAAAAGAATCTAATAAATTATTGTAGCAACTGGTATGAGTCATACCCCACACACCACCCGGGTAATGATAAAAAAACAACAATAAATATCTGGATAAGAATTCTTCAGTGTTTTCCACACACCCATTTCAATTCAGAATCTGCAGCAAGCTGTGTAGCTGCATTCACAGACCGATGCTTACATTGACATGTGTACGCTCGGGTCCCACGAATAGGATTGAGACGAGACCTGAGTCGTGCAGTGACAGGGTAATTGTTGCGGAGGAAGAGATAGTCAGTGTTGTCTGACCACTGAAATCCTTCAAAGGTGATGACAGCACAATCGCACTCCAAGCACCGAAGCTGATTGCATGCTCTGTAAAATTAAGTTAAGAGGAAAAGTAGCATTTGATAAATTTAAATTCTCAACAGAATAATAAAAAGGTTACGCATTACATTGTTATATATATATATATATATATATATATATATATATATATATATATATATATATATATATATATATATATATATATGACTATCATATGGTGCATAAAAAGATATAGATTAAGTAGTAAAAAAGTACACAAATCAAAATCTCTCTTCATATATGAGTCACCACAGTTCATAGTTTTTATTATTGACATAATTCATCTTCATGACTATTTCTTTCTATTACTTCTTCCCTTAACCCCCTACAATTTGGATGAATTGACAATCAAGTTATGAAAAAATTTACCACAAAGGGCGAGTGCAATGAACATGCTGTCATGGAAAAAAATGGTAGAGGGCCAGAATAATGGAAACATGCTGCCATGAAAATTCTAACTGAAGGATAGGGTGACAGGAATGACTCAAATGCCTGCACAAAGGTCTTGGAGGATGATTAGACAT